CATCACATGATATTATTATCATTATTGTTATTTTTAATTGGTACATGTTTGGAAGTCAGGGATGCTTTCTTTAAATTACCTTCATAATTTACTGTTCCTGCTTTCACAAAAACAGCTGGTGAAAGAAACAGACAATTTTCTTGAGAGGTACCACATATCAAAATTAAATCAATAACAGACAGACAATTTAAATAGACCTATAACCCCTAAGGAAATTGAAGCAGTCGTTAAAAACCTCCCAACAACAACAACAGCAAAAGCCCAGGGACAGCTGGTTTCAGCACAGAATCCTGTCAGAACTTCAAAGAAGAACTGATGCCAACACTCCTTAAATTGTTTCACACAATAGAAACAGAAGGAACATTGCCAAATTCTTTTTGATGAGGCCACAATTACCCTGATACCCAAACCACACTAAAATACAACAAAGAAAAATTACAGACCAATCTCCCTCATGAATATTGACACAAAAATACTCAATAAAATATTGGCAAGCTGAATCCAAGAACACATAAAAAATAATAATCCACCCTGGCTAAGTAGGCTTCATCTCAGAGATGCAAAGATAGTTCAACACTCAAAAATCTATCAATGTAATCTACCGTATTAACAAACAGAAGTGGAAAATCACATGATCATCATCATCACATTAGATGCTGAGAAAGGTGTTGTTGGGGTTGGAGTAGAGAGTGTAGCAAGGGAACAGGGAGGGGCAGAAGAAACCAAAGGCACTGGGAGGTGTGGTGGAGCAGAGGTTTGAGAAAGAGGAGAGAGTTAACAGGGTAAGGCCCTAGGCAGGAGATCAAGACAGGGATGAAGGTAAGGTAAAGAATAGGCCAGGAGCAAGTACCACACTCTGCCCGAGGTCAAGAGAGGGTAAGGATGTGTTGGGGAGAGAATAGGGCATTGGGGTGTTGACTGGTCTATCTGTCCCACATGGTCCCATAGCCATTTAGCCCCAAGTAAATACACAGAGGTCTACATTAATTATAAACTGATTTGCCTATTAGTTCAGACTTCTTATTAACTCTTTCTTACATCTTATATTAGCCCATTATTCTTGTCTGTGTTAGCTTCAGCTGCCTTGGTTCTCCAATGCTGCAGTGTATTTGTGTGGGAAGGGACTCCATGGAGTGAGAGGCCTGGGGACACCAGAACCCTGGAGCCCAGGCTGCTCAGCTTCTGCCTGAGGGTCGTGGCCTGTGTCAGAGAAAGAACCTGAGCTTCCTAAAGACACTTCTGGAAGCTGATGTAACCACAAAACCTCTAAGAAAAAAGTGAAGGGGGTGTGACAGACAAACCCCAAACTGCCTGAGGTCACAGCCCTGATTCTGAAATTTTCATGAATGTCATCAGCAGGAAGCTGGTGTCTATTACAGTGCCCTTCACATCTGAGGCTGGGTTTAGAGAAGGGAAGCCATGGCCTAGGCCACAGTGACCAAGCTCATTAATTGCATCTTGGCTCTGTTCCCACTGGCTCAAGCTCCCATGAGTTTGAGGGATTCAACAACAGGACTTGAGGGGACATAGGGCCACAGCATCAGGGAGGAAGTATGCTCCTAGCTGAGCTGATGATCCTGGGTCTCCACCCTCATCCCCCACCCCTCATCCCATCAGGCTCCATCTGGATAAGCATATAGTCCAGACCCTGGGGTTTGCTCTCTACCTCACCCCTCACTCTTTCTCTCAGAGGCTCAGAAAAGCTGAGAAGTTTCAGAACAAATACAACAGGATGGCAAGACAGCAGTAGAGGAAATGGAAGTTCACCCTGACTCACCAGAAGCCACTGAATCGCTAAACCCATAGATGTTTCCAGGGGCAGAAGCCACACCACCCCAGTTCCCTTCTCCTCCTCATTTTTTTCTCACTGTATAAGCCAGGTTGCCAGCTTGCACCACTTCCCTCCATCAGCCTTCTCAGTGCTGAGGGCAGAGGTCACCACACACAACTTCACTGACTACTTCATATACTGATCCAGCACCCAGTTCACCATCCTTACATCCCCTTCCCCCACCTTCCCACCCAGGAATGTGATTATCACCTCCTCAATCAGCAGGCACTGCATGCCCCTCTCTGAGGATACACCCAAGAAATCCATGCACTCTCACCCCTAGAACCTAAAGTAGGAGATAATGAACAAAGTTTAAGCACATAGGATGCTCCCAGTGGTGCTATGTGGGACATAAGCAAGCTTCTGCCTTCGCCTTCCAGCTCCCCCGCCCCCACCCAGGCTAACTCTTGGTCAGACAGTAGCAGATAATGGGGTTCATTTCAGCAGGCATCACAGAGCTTTTATCTACAGAGCACATAATAATATTTAGAGTTTGGCAAGTCACTCCCTATATACATCAAACACTATCCCAGCTTCAGTGTGAAAGCAGTTCAAGAGATTAGGGGACAAGAGCAGAGACCACATTTGGCCTTTCTACTCATCTGACCCCAAATCAGGTAGCATCCTGTATCTCAGAATTGGTACCCATTCCCCTGAGCACTCTCTGCAAGTGATGCCAAAGCTGTGTGCTAAACAACCAGGAATGGTCCTGTGCTGCTGTGCCTCCTGGGTCAGCAGGAGAGGATATGGGAGTTCCTGGTGTTTTTGCTCATTGTGCTCTACAGAACCTGGGAATGAGGACGCTCCTGAGTCAGAGATGCTGGCTGAGGGAGAGGAGAAACGTCCTTCACTTCTTCTAGGATAAGATTCCTACAACCATCAGGGGAACTGGAGATGTTCTGTCAGACAAGACTCCTTGTCTCTCCCTGCTAGACAACTCTCAACATGTATGACCACCATGTCCCTTCTGGATATGTCTCACTTCTGGACATTTTATATGACTGTGATCTGTTCACATAACAATTTAGTGGGAAAGAGCTCACCTCATCATGTCTTCCTGAGGTCTTGTGATAGCCCAGGACCACAGGCTGCTCTATGCCAGGGCCCAGGACCATGTCAGGAGACACAATGAAATGGAGTGTATTTTCCCTGCTGCAGGTGGGTCAGTCTGACTTCTGCCCAAACAAGGTGCTTTTCCAATTAGACACTGCCATGAACTCCACTCGGAAGCCGTTTCCTAGAGCTGACACCTTGGGCTGACAGATTGCCCTGGGTACAATGGAAAGACAGAGAACTCAGTACTGCTCAGTCCAGCAGGCTGGGTGCCTCAGCACTGGCAATCTGACAGGAAAAGCTGGCAACTGCTGACATAGAGCCATGGCCTTGTCACTAAAGAACACTTGTGGTGGTAGCAGTAATAGAAACACTTCCTCTTTGTGGTGAGTGACCTGGGCTGGGTCACCCCACTGATGGAGGGTCTTGCTGTGATTCAGTGCCCCCCCTGGAAACACTCCCACAGACACAGAGCATCTCAACCACTCTCCACATCTGCTAAGCCAGTCAGGCTGATAATGGCGACCACTGTCAAAACCTTTGACAGTTTTTCCCTCTGTGTTTTAACTGACAGTGCCTACTACAGAGTAAACACAGCATGGAGGCAACACTGACATGAAAAACACACACTGCACTACAGACGCCACTACAGCCTCCCCCACCCCTGCCCTACTGTGCCCTCCTCTCCCAGTAACTCCCATTCCCTTCTCATATATTCATGTTCTGCTGTTCTTCATCTCTTTTTTGGTTTCTCCCTACACTTACTCCCCAATAGATAACTAACTTTTAGAAGCTGGGATGCAGAACGAATTCAAAGCTATTTTAAACACAGGTCTGGAGAGAGGTGAGCTTTCTGGGATTCACTGACCAGACACCATAGCCAACTCAGAGAGCTAAGGCCAGTGAAAGACATTGTGTCCTAAAGTAAGATGGATAAGATGGATGGAATCTGCGAACTCACACCCAAGGTCAATCCTGCATGTATAGTACCTACTACACACACACCTTTACCAGCAGGAGCATAGGGTTCACCTGCAAAAAAAAAAAAAAAAAAAAAAAAAAGTGACAGAAAATTCAAAATTTTTCTACCATAGGAAAGTTGGACTTTTCCTATGTAAAACCCTCTTCTAAAACATGGGAAAAATCATTTTTATCTCAAGTGTATGAGTGCTTTATCCATGTGTGTTTCTCTGGCCCATGTGTGTGCAGCACCCATGGAGACCAGGAGCCTGCATGGAATCCCCTGGAATCTCAGTTCCCCAGGCTGTGAGCTGCTGTCTGGATGCTGGGGATCCATCCTGGGTCCCCAAAGAGCAGCTGGTGCTCTCACCCCCTGAGTTCTCTCTCCAGACCCCAGAAGCTGCTTTTAATTGGGAGAAGATTTTAGTTGCAGAACTCCCCTGAAGGCCTTAGGTGCCAGTGTCACAGAGGTAAGGAGGAAAGCTCAGGCTTCCTTCCCCACAAGATAGCTGCTGTCTCCAACAGGGAGAGAGTGAAAGGAAGGAAATGGAGGGGGAAGGGAGAGTGACAAGAGGGGCTGGGGGAGGGGCCACCGTGACAAGCAGGGGCACAGGAACTTGAGGGTGCCAAGACCTTGAGGGGGTGATGGGGAAGGGACTGGGGGTGGGGGTGGGGGCCAGAATAAGTCCGGAATGGAGGAGAAACTTGAGAAAGAGGAAGTGAGGAAGAGCAGGCTGGAGGTTCCAGGGAACCCAGAGGGCTGGTCTAGAGGGAGACAGTGAGAGTGTGAATCTAGAGAAGCAGGGGAAACTGCAGAAGCAAACATTCAGGGCCCTTCCATCGCTGTGGGCGTGGAAACTCACCGCAGGACAGGGGCGGGTAAATACAGGCACAACTTTTGTCAGAGAACCAGCTGTAGGGACGACTTTCTGAAAGCACGATTTTATTCGTTCTCTGTCTTTCCTGATTCTGTTGCCCAAGGTCCCTGAGGGTGCAGCTACGCGTGAGTGAGGTGAAGGGACAGCAGGAGTGGGAGCCCAGGACCACAGTGTCCTCGCCTCTCCATTCACATGCACGCTCCGTTCGCCTGTGTGCAAGGGGTACCGCGATCTATTGGGAGGGAGAACCAGCCACAGGGTCCTGATGGAACCCAGAAGAGATCTAGGAAAAAATGAGGACTAGGAACCGGCATGGCTAGAGCACAGGAAGGACTGAATTCTCAGTCCAGGTGCCCAGTCTTTCGCGAATCTCTTCGTGAGGTCATCTGCGGGGCGGTACTGAGGACTCCCCATTCTCTCCGCAGCTCCAGTCACACCAGTCGCGTGCCGGGCCTCAGGAAGGAACCATGGCAAAGGCTGCAGTCACTGGACGCAATCGTTCCCTAATTCTGTGCCTTTTCGTTCTACTTAGCCGTCTGGGATCTTCTGTGCAGCCCTGTGAGTTACCGAAACTTAAATGAATGGGAGTGGGGGAGGGGAGCATTAAGGAGGCGTGGAGGAAGGTGCGTGCGTGGGGCAGGGAGAACAAAGTTTCCTCAGGGAAGCTCCTGGGCTTCTCTCTCTTCTCTATCACCGGGAATTAAGTCTGGGCGCCCTGGTCGTCATCGTGTCCCTCCGGCTTTCTCTTCATTGGATTGACAAAGTTAGGGGAAAGTCACTGATGCAGAGCCAGGGCCGGAAGGGGTTGCCATGAATGAGGAGCACAGAGTAGCAAAGGGGAGTTGCTAGTGAAGCCCTCAGCACCACTCACTGAAGCTTAAGCCCAGTGGCCAGTGTGGAGCCCTCCGGGAGGCGATCTCAGACAGCTCCCCTGGACCTAAGGCAGTCTATGCTCTGAAGACTGCCTTCCCGGGGATTCCTCTCAAGCCCTCCACCTTGCCGGGACCCATTTGTGCTTGAGCTTTCTTTCCCACCTTCCCACGCTATTCTCGGAAGATCGTAATTGATGTTTCCAAGGACAAGGCAGCCACAACTATACACGTTCGTACTTTTACTTCGCTTTCTCTTGTTTTAAGACAGAATTCCACATGAAAGCACACGCTATAGAATCTGCAATAATCCTCTCTCTCTCTCTCTCTCTCTCTCTCTCTTTCTCTCTCTCTCTCTCTCTCTCTCTCTCTCTCTCTCTCTCTCTCTCTGCCTGTCTTGCAAATTCCGGAATCGCAGATTTGTCCCACCGAACTCAGTTTCAACTCTCCTTCGCTATCCCTAGGCACCCTTTCAGATATGGAAAGTTCTCTTCAGCCCGAAAGTGTTCTTCCTTCTCTTCCACCAGGTGGCGATGGGTGCTTCTCTCAGCTAAGCAGGGCCTTATATACCTCCTCCACTAAGGACTCTGGCAATGGTCCTGAATAGTCGGTTTGAAAAGCCTCTGTCCTTGCTCTTGGGCCCCCATAATCTACCTCCTGGGGAGATGGCATCAGATAATGGTGTTCATTTAGGAAGGAGAGGTTTTTGTTTGTTTGTTTTCTCTGTAAATGGCAGGCACTAAATATTTTCTACCTGGAAATCTTCACTATATCTGTCCCACATCAAATACTCAGGTCTGCATTCAGTGTGACAGCAGCAGAAGGAAACAAGCTGATGAATGAGACAGCAGCTTTGTCCTCTGTCCTTCTTCTGACCCCAGATTAGGGCATATCCGTGTCCCAGTACTGGTGCCGGTCCCCACAGGGCATCATCAAATGCACTGCCAAAGCTGCCTGCTGCCCAGACAGCAGAGGGCTCTATGCTCCCTGTGATGTCTGGGATATCTAGAAATGACACGAAGAGGTCCTGACTTTAGGACCTCTCAATCTCTCCTTTGCTGTCCAATGCACTCCTTAGATCCCATGACCATAGAGAACACTCCTTGAAGCCCCAGGTGCTTGCTGTGGGAGAGGTGGCAGCTTCCTTGAGAGCTAACCTCAGTCTCTTCCTCTGGATGAGGTAAGAGTTCCACAGTCATCTGGGGAACTGGAGATGTTCTGTCAGACCAGAGATCTGTCTCACCCTGCTAGGCAGTCTTGAACACACAAGTGGTCTGTTGTATCCCTGCAGCGATGTCTCTCTTCTGGACGTTTTATCTGACTGTGATCTGTCCACCTAATAACCTAGTGGGAAAGAGCTCACCTCATGATGTCTGCCTGGGGCCTAATGGGCCTTCTGATAGCCCAGGGCCACAGACCACTCTTTCCCAGGGCCCAGAACCGTGCCAGGAAATACAAGGAAGTGGGGTGTATTTTCCCTCTACAGTGGGGCAGACTGACTTCTGCCCAAGCAAGCCAATTCTCCAATTAGGCACCGCCATGAACTCCACCCAGGAAGATTTCCTGGGACTGACACCTCAGACTGACGGACCGTCCTGGACAGAGGACACTAGAGGCAGGTCCAGCCCTGTTCTCCATGCATTTGTCGTCTCTGCTGCTTTCAAGCTCCAAGAGCAGAGCAGGTGTGACAGAGACCGTCCGTCCTGTGAAGACTTCAGAATTGATATAGTAGCTGTATTAATCATTTTCCTGTTCTGTGATAAACACCAAGGCCATGGTCACACACAGAAGGAAGGGCTTGGGATCTTAGAATTTCAGAGAGTCAAGAGTCCATCAACGCACAGCAGAGAGGCATGAAAACTGGGGTGCATGCTGGCTGGCACAGGAAGTGTAGAGCATACTTTTTTTATTTTTTTAGTTTGGCTTGGGTTTTTGAGACAAGGCCTCACTTTATACTTTTGTCTGTCTTAGAATTCACTGTGGAGAACTGGATGGACTCAAACTTATAACCATCTGCCTTACTCTGTCTCCAGAGTACTGGGACCAGAGCCATGCATTACCATGCTTATCTTAAATGTCAAGCAAGGTACAGACATGAAGAAAAGGGAATGAGTTTTGAAGCCAACCCCCCACAGTGACTTATTTCCCTCAGTCAGCCTTACCTACTCAACCTATCCAAACATCTCCCACTAACTGGGGGCCAAGTATTAAAAATTCTACTCTGTAGAGGACAGGCTCATTCAAATCACCACACCAGCTATTCATGGGAACATCTCTGGGTTCATCCCTGAGTGTCAGGGCAGTAATGAATGTGACAGTGCAGAAAGAATGGCTGTACCTGCTGCTGGGCTGATTGGTCACTCTTATTGGGATCTGATTGGTCCCCCTGAGAAGGCAATCTGAGTCTGTCTTTGAGGTGGTTCAGTTTTAATTCTTTTTTGATGTATTTTGCTTTGATTGCATGTATATATGTATACTACATAAGTGCCTGGTGCTTTGTGGGGACAAAAGAGGACATGTGATCCCATGGAACTGAAGTTGCAGGCAGTGGTGAGCCACTAAGAGCAGTTGCTAAGAATCAAACCTGAATCTTCTGCAAGAAAAACTACTCTTAACCACTCTACCATCTCTCTAGCCCAATTTAAACAGTGGGCACAGGAGTTGGGGTTTTATGATCTGGCAGCTTTTAGTTTCTTCATCATCTTTTTTGTGTGTTTATTTATTTATATCCAGCCACATCTAGATTGGCTGACCATTTCCTATATTTAAGATTTTTCTGTTCTGTTAGTCATGACCCCTTAAGCAGTTAGTCTTCAAGGTGGGTCCCTCCTACTTATCAATGGACCTCTGCCCTTGATATTACTGCCTCCTGATCATTCTATCTTATGGAACTTTTCTGTACCGTGCTGCTGGGTTTCCAAGTTAGAAATACAGTTTCCTAACACCACCCCTAGCCTTGAACCATCATTATCATTCCTGGGCTTCCAGCCATGCTTGTGCCCATCTCCATGGTCCTTCTCGCTGTGTTTCTCAGCAGGGATGCTCCAGCATCCACAGACAGCATGGACTCTGGACACATCCTCTGGAAATGATTGCTATTCCATCCACTCTGGCAATGTACTTCTCTGAGATTGTTGATTACCACTCTTCTACTGCCAGATTTAAGCAGCCTAGATTTTCTTTGTCCCATAGTGTGGGGATCCTCTGACCAGGCCCAGGAAGCCATCACTGGAGCACTACATTATACCCAGGGATCTGCCAGTGTTTTGTTCTATTATCATTCTATTGCTGTAACAAACACTCTACCAAAAGCAAAGTAAGGGAGAAACTGATTTATTTGACTTCTGTAGCGCAATAATAAGATCCCAGAGACATATATTGGGTTTCAAGCTGAAGATCAAAAAAGCAAAGCAACCAACCACTAAAGAGTTCTTACCTCTACCTTGCTGGATAATCCAGTCTTCAGTGTCACTGCAGACTGACTGTGGAATCCCTGAGCTCCACTCTCCTCCTGTCTTATAACCCTCTCTAGTGCTGGGATTAAAGGCATGCACCACCACCTGGCCTCTATGGCTCACTAGTGTGGCTAGTTTTGTACTCTGATCTTTATACAAACTTTATTTATTAAGCCACAAATAAAATATCACTACATTTCCTCTTTTGGTCTAAAATATAAAAGACGGTTATAATTTAATTTAACAAACAAGGAAAATTATAATTTATAACTATAACCATAACTATCTAGTCTTCACCTCCAGCCCAGGCAATCTATATATTAACAAAAGAGAAGGAGCCATTCATCCTGACCTTTGATAGGTAGCCAGCTTGTTTGGCAGGATTGTAACTGTCTTGGAAAATAAGCATGGTCAGAGAGCCTCGCTGCAAATATTTTGTATGAAATATGGGCCTACACTCCACTGTCACTTATTAATTGTAATAATCCCCGTGTTTCTGTAACAAGACAGATATATCATGTCTGGCTTAGGCAAAGTAATTTTCCTTTACCCAAATGTTCCCATCTTTGGAACAGGCATTGACATATGCAAGATTCTGTCTTAGGCATCTGGGGAGAAGAAGCTTTAAGTCTGTCATTGACTGTTGATCTCTGTAAAGAAAAGAGATTAGTGGAGAGAAATATACATTTAGGCCCTGTGTATCATAGCCATACCTGTTTGCCAGGAAAAATCATAATACTTTATGAATAACTATGCTTTTAAAGGCTATAATCTCCTATTTAAAGGAGAAGAGAATCGCCTGAGTTGAAAGTGTTTCCTCCGTGGTTTAGAGCACCATTTAGATCTAAAATTTTCAGCATATGTATCAACTCCCAACATTTACAGTGTCACAACCTCTTTTTAGTAGTTGACAATAACAACAAGTCAAAATCATTATTTTTTGCATCATCGATCAATACTGAGTTTTTAATTGTCTTTTTTGTATCATAATTTTATATTGTTGGTCAGTACCAACTTTGTAAAATTTTTTTTTGGTCGGTACTGTTGTTTTTAGTACCATTGGTCAATACTAATTTTTTATCGTCTTATATGCAGTTGTAAATATCAGGTCATTACCAGTAAGAGTACAATAACTTTTGCTGCTGTCAAATACCACTTTCAGTCTCTGAGCAGCTGTTAAGCCCTTAGTCTGCCTCCTTCTTAAGAGAAGTGGGGGCTTAGTCATTTTTTTATT